GCCCCCCCCCCCCCCCCCCCCGTACTGTTTAATGCTGTTCTTTACTCCACTTTTACTAAACTCTCAATTCCTTGGATTCCATGGTACCAGCCTCTTCAGATTCTTTTTCTACCTTTCAGCTTGTTTCTTCTCAGTCTCTTTCATGGACTTCTCTTGCTCTACCCACCCTTTAATGTTGGTGTTCCCTGCGACTCCATTGTCAGCCGATGTCTCCCTCTGTATACCTACCTGGATGATGGCATCTACCCTCATGGTTTCCTTTACCACAACCCCTTTCCTTATGACAATCATCTATCTTCCACCCACCCCAACCTTTCCTCCTCCAGGATTTTTTATTTTGGTTGATGTCACCCAGTCATCTAAGCTAGAAACTTAAAAACTATCCTAGCTGATGCACTTTCTCTCCACAGGGATGACTGATTTCGGATACTATCAATCAGCAAGACTTCCCATGTTACCTCCCATATTAGTTGAATGTTTCCTCTTCTTTATTATCTCTATACCAGTTCAGTCCCTCATCCTCTCCTGATTGACCCACTCCTAATTAGTCTCCCTGCCTCCACAGAACCACCACAACGATCTTTCTAAGACAGACAATAGCTCTTCCGCTTGGAATTACTATCACCAACTACAGTAATTCTCAAACTTGGATAAAGCATCAGAAATCAGTATTGATTCTCAAAATGAGGCATAAATTCCTAGTATTTATAAATCTTTTACAACTAAAGAAAACAAATTCACAAATTAAATACTTGTAGATGTTAACGTGAACTTAATGTGATGAATGAACGTGCACAGAGAGACCAAATGCCTCTGGATAAATGAACATGATGCACGTGCCTCAGGCAGAGGTTGTTCTCAGATGGGCCTGTCCCCACTGGTTCTGGAAGGACTGAATGTCTCCCGTTCTTCTCTCTTCTAACTTGTGCCATACCTTCCCTTGTACGGTGCACAGCATCTGGCCTTCTCTCGACCCTAACGCATCGTTTACCAGTTAAGACCGCCTTTATCCTTTTCTCACTAGCCCTTGACAAGTAAATATACTTCGTTGTTCCAACTCTCATAAACGCGTGACAGGACTCACGCAATGCGGACTATGCTTATATTAATTTTCTTTTTAGCTTATCACAGAAATAAAAATACAATACTTTAAAACTCCTGAAGAGAACTCAGCCTTGTTCCCTCCAGCTCGCTCAGCCTATCTCCGCTCCCGAGGCCCGCAGCCTCCACTCCCGCCGCTCCCCATTCCGCCGCTAGGTGGCAGGGCGGCTCACCAACCCCCGAAACCGCTCGCCCGGGAGCCGACCGCCGGCATCCAGTGACGTCACCCAACCCTGGCGATGATTGGCTATTTCGCCGATGACCCGGGGGGAGGAGCCAGCGGCAGAACAGGAAGCGTCGGGTACAGCGGCCTCATAGTGTCTCGAGGCTGTGCGTGCGCATTCACGACCTCGCGCCACCTGCGGTTCCTCCTCCGGCCTGAGGGGGCAGACCGGGTTCTTAAGTGATGGAGGGCGGAACTTGCTGAGAGGGTCACACTGATAAGGGCTGGGCCACACTCAGGGGAGGAGTCACCTTGAAAGGTGGGGTCACAATGACTGGTGGAGTCACTCTGAGAGGCGGGGTCTCACTGCGTGGGAGGGACACAGAGGAGGGGGTACAGAACTGAGGGATTCTGGTACACACTGATGGTGGCAATGTCATACCGAGGAAAGTCCCCCTGAAGGGGAGGAGTCTCACTGAGGAAAAGGGGGGTCTTAGAGGGAAAACGTTCCTTGAGGGGACGGGGTCTTGCTGAGGGGTGGGGTCTCGCGTAAGGAGGGGCTTCCCCGCAGGTGGAGGCGTCTCTCTAAAGAGAGGGTCATTTGGACAAAACAGAGGGGGGTCCGGGTGGGTGGTCATATGGGCGGAGGCACTGCAATCTGCACTTTATTCGGGGCAGGTGGGATGGAGTGAGGAGTCGGGGCCAAGCCAGGGATGGGCCGGCAAAGGGCTTCCTACAGCCGTCGGGTGTCATAGCCGTCCAGGAAGGCAGGAGGTGTTCGAGCGTCCAGAGGTTTAAGGCGTAGGGGTCGAAGAGAGCTGGTAAATGAGCAGGCTGGCCTGGGGCGCAGGCCGGCAAGGTGGGCAGGCTGCTGGGCTGCCTCCGACTGCAGCTGGGCCTGGGGAGCCCAGGCCCCGGGCGGCTTCCTGAGCCCCGCCTTCAACGGACTGTGACCTGAGTTCTCCGGGGGCAGCTAAAAGACGTTTAGAGCTTCACGTACGAACAATCAGCCCTTAACTCCCGTCAGTTATTCAAGCGCGGGCCTGAACTTATTTGACCCCGGCGCCCCGGACTCGCTCGCCTGGGGCATCGCGGCCGCCGGTGGGGTGCGTACCTGAGGGGGCGTGGCCGCTGCCCGGAGGCCGGGCTCGAAGGAGTTAAGCCGAGGCCCAGCCCCGCCCCGCCCCCGGCAGGCCGCGGAGCCTGAGCCCCAGCGGCTGAGCG